CGACCGGGCCTAGCCCGACGACGTCGAGGAGAGGAGAGGTAGTAGTGCGGTGCTGAGGCCGGCAGATAGGGTTTATCCACCCCCCTCGCTTAGTTACACGGGCGGGCTTGTGAGCGGTGTGGTCCCTCTCTCCTCAAGTATGTACTACATGCTGACAACACAAAAAGAGCAAAAGAGCTAACTAAATAAACCAAACTTGCATGAAGTCAAGAATCAAGATTGTGTTTTTGGGGGTGAAGGTAATGAAAGAGTGTTGCACAAGTGAATATGTAACCCACTAAAATCTTATATTTATTAATTGAAGGCTCTAATCGAGGCACCATGTTAATCCTCAAGACTAATCATATTAGCCATCTGATCACCGTATTAACTATCCGTAGCCGTCCGATGAGATACCTCAAGAGGCCCAACCTACTGTCCCACCTGATTTGGGTGATCTCTCCCTTCAAGTCAAAAAAAGGGCATGTCCCTCACGTCAAAACAGGGGAATCTCAATCTAGCCATCTGATATTAGCTATCTGTAGGCGTCCGATGAGATACTTCAAGAGTACTGACCTACTGTCCCACCTGATTTGGGTGATATCTCCCTTCTAGTAAAAAAAAGGGCATGTCCCTCACGTCAAAACAAGGGCATCTCAATCGCGGACTACTTCCTCCATCGATCCTACTCTGCACATCATGCACAAATTGCCAGGGTTGCTTCTCCATCTGGTCCTCTCCCTCCCTCCCATCTCCGGTCTTCATATAAACAATCCAACGAGCCTCTTCTGGAGATCGACCTAATAAGAAGGCCACGATCCAATCCAGTCTCTCAATGATCGTGTTATTGTGCAGGCCTTCAATCTTCCCAAATTTCAGATTTTGACCATACTGCAATCAAGTTTTTTGATTTGGCAAGATCAATTCCTATAATGATTTATGAAGAGCAGCCGAAGTACCGATGGCAATTTCAAAGGGTGATGCTGATTACTCTGGTCGGAGAACTATGGTTGAAATTTCTCCCATACATCCTCGCAGATTTCCCGTCCTGATGTGAGCCTCCTACCCTTCGCTCATCCTACCGCGCTCACGACGCCTGCCACAGGCCGCTCGATCTCCTGCTAGCCTCCGCCTACTCTGGTCTCTGAGTTGGTGCCATGCACGATGTTCAAATCTCAGGAAACCATCTCACCGAACATTCATTAGACAGCATCATCTGTTCAGGTATTGGTGATCAGGACCATGTAAGGAACATGGTTGTTTTCCTGTAAAATAAAGAAGTTTAATGCATAGGTGTAGCCATACTTATTTTTACCTTTTTTGAGTTAGAGACGCTGGTGTCCACATTACGGGCACCATCAATGGATAGTATCCATTGGATACTTATTTTTGCATATATGGTCTGTACACAGGCCAGGTTTTGGAAGTTTTCCTAGCCTGATGTCGATGGTTATGGCCAGTCCGACGGTGGTATGGCCGCTTAGGAATATGTTGTTCTCTTACTGCCCCGTCTGAATCCTGCTGCCCATGTGAAATTTTTGTGTCCATGCTCTGTTTGCTGTTTAACAATTATTACTTAACTGCAATACTGCTTAATTACTGATCCAGGTTCCCCTTCCTGCAGCTTTTAATGTAATTTTAGTGTAGCATGGAAGTTGATTCTGCTCCGCTGAAATAGGTTTGTCTTCTCTGCTGGTATGATATTTCTTACAAAGTAAAATTTCATGAATAAATATAGATCCATTCACGAACAGAAAATAGATAGGTTCATACTGATAGAGTGATAAGATTTAATTGTGTGGATATGACATTCCGAGATTTCCTTTTGTACGAAGATATCATGTCTTTGATTTGTACAAAAGATTTCTCTGCTACTCTATCAGCAACTGGGATTTACTATTGCTAATCTACGCAAAAGTAGTGAAAGGATCATGTACGTGAATTCTTGGACAGAACGTCTTCTTTCTATTCTCTGAGCGATAAGTGCTTTCTTTCTAATCTGCAAATAGAATAACACAAGAAATAATAATCTCCACTACTTCCACCTAATCAAGTGTTCTCTTTCCCATGGCACAACACAATGATTTTTATTTTTTGCCGACTCCACCATTTTTTGTCTCCCATGTTTTGTACAAAGTTGGACTTGAGAAAAAAGCAACACTAAGCATTACGGAAAGGATGAGTCGAATGGCCGGCAATGCATCACAAGACAGTAATGTAAGTTTTCCTATTGAATTTCCATGATGCTTGATGCAGAAGGGGAGCCAATGTACTGATGGTAGTACAAAAGAGAGATGTAGGTTTGGTCGGGGAACTACACTAGAAATTTCTACCATACATGCTCTCAGGCTCCTGGCACTAGGGTAACACTAAGTATTATGACAACAAGGAGTCCAACGCATGAGGCGCGTCTCACCTGGCATTGAGAAAAGGGCCAGTGCCTCACATGTTTTATTAGTCCCGCTTTTTTTAATTGATGATTCCCATATGTTGAAATTTTGGTTATTTATATGCTAGCCAAGTATTTCCTGATGTCTTTGGCTAAAACTGGACTGATCGCGACTTTGTTCCAGTTTTGGTAATGTGTAGCTGGGATTTCTACTATTGTAAGATGTGAAGTACTGATAATGGCATTTATATTGCTGCAAATACATGTAACTTCTCTTTGGCCGAAAATGTTTGTCATTTTTTCCTTCGACCACATTACACCTAAACAAATAGAAAACAGTCATGAGATGTGGCTATGCTTCTTATTGAGCAACCGTTATCCTCCTCTCCACACTTGGCTACCAAGCGTTTACCATACGCACGATAACTGGTACGCTTCTTTTTTTTTGAAACGAAGGGGGTTGCCCCCCTGCCCCAACTTTTTATTGAAAAAGCAAAGGCAACCAACGAACAGAGTTTACAGCTCTCGGCTCCAGCCAAAAGTAGCCACAGCAGAATTATTACAGACTCAAACATCAAACAGTTTTTTAAAAATCCACTAGAGAACTACGAATGGCCCCTATAGGAACTACAAGCGCAGAGGCACTGAACTGGTACGCTTCTTAGTCATTAATTTGACATTGAAGTGAATTCTAAAATGATTTTTCAAACATTTCAATCCTACTAATCATGGTAGTTAAGATGTTAAAGGGACATGCTTTTCTTAGAACCTCATTAGTACATACTTATATTGTAATATCATACCTAAACCCCTGTAGATCCATAAGCATACTATTTTTTCCAATCAAAATTGCAAAGTATTATGATAAAACAAGTCATTAGATTCAATAAACACATTCTCTCTACTTAAAACCATAAGAAATCATAAGTGTGTCTACATACACTACTTGATGTTATATTAATATTCAAATATGTACTTATATAGATTTCCCGATAGTCAACTTTTTGAGAAACAGTTCCAAACTAAGTTGTGAAAACTAAGTCATATTCTTAATATCTACATGTTTCTCAAAATAGCTAGGCCGTGCAGGCGCACGGGTTGATGAATAGTTGAGCCAATCCAAATATCCGACCATTACTAACTGCATAATGGAAAGCATATTGATGCTTTAAAAATGAGACGCATGGGGTTAACAGCAAAAAACTGTAGACCTGACGTCTTGAACAGAATGCGATAGAATTGACCCTGCCCGCACGGACTTCTTTTCAGATAACATGCTATGCATCACAATTAGAGGGTTCCCTTTTTGAGTTTTGTTAGCGATTGTGTCCTGCTCAGATAGGCGAGACAACGACAGCGACGACTCTTTGAAGATGGAATATGGTTCTCCTCGCTTAGCCCCCGTCTCGGTGGTGTTTTTAGCATCGTCCGATGAGCATGTGAAGGTTGGATTCTTCCGATCTACACTCTTCCTTTTCACATATTGGAGTTTTTTTTGTCACGCTATTTGCATCAAGTGTGCTATTTTACATCACCTGTTGGAGATGCTCTTAAGCTCTAGTAGATCTCTAATTGCACCTTGAACACTCATGGGCATGGGCAGACTGGCCTGACGGTCTGAGCCCGAAAGCCCGACATCCGTGTCAAGCTCGGGCTCAACTTTTTCTCGAAAGCTTGGCCCGAAAGCCCAAACAAAGCCCGAATGACATAATATAATTATTTCAATTTAAAATAGGTGTATTAATATATTAAATAACCCGAATAATATAAATAAAAGCGCACTGCTAACATGTTTCGGGCCGGGTTGGGCTGGGCTTCGGATTGAGATTTCCACTTTGGGCTTTGTCAAGCCTAACCCAAAACCCGCCTTAGCCCGAGGTATGATCATGTCTAGTATGGATTGGCTCGAGGGTATTTTTTTTCTCGGCCAAAATTTTGAAAACCAGTTGAAAACCTGCTTTCCAGTTACCCTCCGAGAAAAATCGCATCCGCTTGAATTTTTTTGAATTTAAACTACAGAAACGCGATCAACCTTAATGAAGTTCGGGATGTACCCCAGTGGTAACGCGCACCAGTTATGTTCATGTTGTCGCGAGTTCGAGCTCTTCCACTCCCCCTTGAACAGGCGCTAGTTCAGTAGCATACCGTTGTTAAACTTTCTAATGTAGTCCGGGCTCCGGAGGAAATGAGGAATGGAGGAGACCGGGCAAGAAGAAGAAAAACTGTTGTGACAAGTAGGGAATATTATGAGGAAAGTTGAAGGGGTACCTGAAACCCTCTATGAAAACAATCACAGTGACGACCCAAAAATCGTGGCGCAGGTGCTCCCAGAAGCCGCCGAGCACCACCACCGTGGCCCAGATGAACGCCAGGTTGCCGATGGCGTTACCTACCCTCTCCAGAAAGGCGATGACCCGCACAAAGGTGGTGAGCCCTTTCTCACGTTTCATCCTTGCAACGACCTTGCTACTCGCCGGCTGTTTACTGCTGATGGAGCTCCAGCTTATGGTGGCTGTAGCAACTTTTGCCAGATCCAGCTTTAGCACTTCTGACCTTAAAGGGGTGCCGCAGCCAACGTAGGTACGTACACCTTCTTACTTAACACGGATTAATCTAGCACCCATCTATCCGATCATTACGGGAAAGTCGTCATGCGGATTTTAGAGAATACTACTACTTCTAACTGCTCCTCTCGATCCCTATCTCTCTTCCGGCATCTTTAATGCTGACCCGTAAATTTGCTCCGGCATCTGTTTGCACAGTCCAGAGACACTGATATTGGAGACCGCCATCCAACGCCATTCACATACATTTCAACTCGTGCTTGAACTAACCGGACGAAATTCATGCAAATCGGCTGATATTCATCAAAGTTCAAACAGAAAATATCGCAAATCGTCCACAGATAGTATGCAAATTAAGTCTAGTACAACAATGTCTCAAATTCAACAAGATTAACCATATGTCCAACAAAATTTTCATCAATGGATCATGTCATCCCACACATACTGCCCCTTCAGCTTCATCCAACAGTGTGTACATAAAAGGCCATCCCTCTGTCCTGTGGTACATCACGACAGCGTGTGCACGTTACACAATGTGTAGACCAACATTGGACAAATGAATGCTTTAAACAAGTTGAGCAAGAAGAAGAAAAACTTGCGATCTCGTCCTCTGCTGCGTGCAATGGCCAACCTTGCATCCACTGATGAACCACGTGACAAAACTTGGTAACGTTGGTCTGGATAGCATACCAATGATATGATAACGATCTCACATTGTATTATTGAATTATGTACATGTTGTAGGGTGTAATGTGCTTTCGTGTGTGAAACGATTCATGCACTTGCTGCCAGTAGGTCCTATCTCTACTTTTTCGTACGAAAACCGCATATACGGCCAACCACACATCGCACAACCGCTCATCCTCCATGGTCGACTACCTCGCCATCCTTCGTACTTTGAAAAAATGATATGGCATCTGAAATTAAGATAAATGACATTTGATCGAACACATGCCGACCCTGGTGTCCGCAATGGAGGTCGTCGACAAGGGGGTGGAGTGTACCTGGGTAGAAACGGCTCCCAAGTGCGTGCATCAGTGCTGGTTGCGGATGTTCGGTGATGCCTCTATGGCGGCCAGAGAGGTACATCGGCGGCGGAGGAGGTGGAGGGTGCGATGCAAAGCAATAGGGAGAAGGGGTGGAGTGGAAGGAAATGGGACCGGGAGTGGGATTTAGTGTGCCTCGGGTGTCAGAGTTCAACAGAGAAATAGCACATCTGGACCGCCGAGTAAACCGACATGGACCCACGTTGAATGGCAGAACACGTTCGGACAATGCACGGTCTGAATGTATGCAGGCGGTTTGAGGGTCCGCTCTGCAGATGCGCTTATCCCGTAGATACAACTAGTCTAGTGACACAAGTAGTAAAATAGACGGGAAAAGGTACAGCAGTCCTGCTTAACACGCATTACTCTAGGTTCCATCTCTCGATCATTGCCCCTTTGGTTAGGTACGGGTGTGTAGTCTTTGGGTTAGAAGTAGACTACTTCTAACTGCTCCTCCCTGTCTCTGGCTCTCTTCCAAAAACCGTGACCACCCGTATCCGTATAATATACTAGCCTACTGTCAGCCGTAGTAAAATAGACGGGAGAAGGTACATCAGCACCCTCACCGCATTTCGTAGTATAAACTTTTACCACTAGTTTAGCTACTTATGTATGCATATACTCTTGAACATCGGGGCCAAGACAACGATAGCCCACAATATACGTAAATTTCACATCAAATATCTTACGTATATCAATACAAAGAAAGCTACATTCTACTTGTTGAGGGTAGACCAACGACTAGCTAGCAGATTCGTCGACCAAGCTGAGCACATATTATTGACAATGCCTATTTTTTTTTTGAAACAAGGCAAAAGATTTGCCATTTTTATTGATTAAGAAGAAGAGAATTGCCTCATCAGTTGAGGAAAAACCGGGCTAAAACCGATACAACCCAGCCCACATGATATGGGCACCACCGGTCAACCTGGCCGCCGACATGGAACACAAAGCTGCAAAGAAGAAAGACATCCGCCAAAGAGTCGCAAGCGTCATCGTCATCACCGGTTGCCTCGAACGGGCGACTCCAACTTCACCATAGAGCTCCATCATCGAAGTCAACCCGCAAACAGCTGTGCAAAAGCCAAGACGGCAGATGCCAACAGAAAGCCACACACGCAAGCAACCGACAGCTCCGACTTTGACGACGAGCATCACAAGGAAAATATGTAGGACTTGCGCCGACCATGACCTCTGCAAACGACCATCGAGCGCTTGTCATCGTCACCACCTGGACCCGCTTCGCCGCAGCTCCGACTTCAAAGCAGCCAAGCAATCCACAAAAGGGCACCTTGGATACGCGGAAAGAACCGACTACCAAAGTCCATGCCGTGACCAAAGCTCCATCGACGCCACCATCGTTGCCAAAACAGAAACCAGCGCCCCGCCTCAGTTAACCACGCGGCATAGAAGCCGCCATCCACCGGTCTTCCAGTCGTAGCCGGCTCCAAGACGATGCCCCAAGGAGGAGAAAGACGCGAAGACGCCTTCATCGCCCTATCCAGCGGATCTGAGGTTTCCCTCTGAAGCCCAAGCCATGGAGCACCTCCACGACGACGCTTCCAAGAAAATGCACGGCACCCGCGGCGCCGCCGTCACTGGCTTCGATGCAAACTGAAACAAGGATATCTCCAGGAGACATGTCGACCACCTACCACCACCGACCGCCGCCCACCAACCATCACACCTGCCGAGGCCAACCTCCTTCCACTGATGGGATCCCACGATCAACCACGCCCAGACTCGCACCACCCCCCTGGTCGTAGCCGCCGACCACCACCGTAGCACCACCACAGAGACCAACGCCGCAATGCAACGAGTAGCACCTAGATCGGAGAGATCCAAATCGGAGCTGCTCAAACAAAGCCACCGTTGGTTTATATGCATCTGTAGAAGAGCTTAGATGTGCTCATATGGTAAGCTTTGATGTGCTCTCTCCCCCCCTTTGACATCAATTTCCAAGAAAGGTACTTCTGGAGCATGAGTCAAGTAGGTGTGGTCCTTAAGAGTCACTACAAGGCAGTAGGTATTTCATGATGCTGATAGAGGGAAGAATCATTGAGTGGAGTTGAAGAAAATAGGCAATAAGAATTGGCAAAATATTTTCTTAGAGTTGAAATCGGTGACCCCGATTGGTTTCCATCGGTGACGCCGAAATGACAGAGTCACAGATAGTCCCGATCGGTGAGACCAAATATGTATGATCTATTAGTGCGAAGAAAATAAGCTTTATACGAACTTGTGATAGGGAAGAAATAAAAGCGACGGATTGCATAATAAAGGTCTTTATCACAAGCGGCAATATAAAGTGACGTTCTTTTGCATTAAGATTTTGTGCATCCAACCACAAAAGCACATGACAACCTCTGCTTCCCTCTGCGAAGGGCCTATCTTTTACTTCTATGTTCTACCCTTATACAAGAGTTATGGTGATCATCACCTTTCCTTTTTACACTTTTTCCTTTGGCAAGCATTTTGTGTTGGAGCGATCCAGATATATATCCACTTGGATGTAGGTTTTCATAAATTATTATTGTTGACATTACCCTTGAGGTAAAAGGTTGGGAGGCGAAGCTATAAGCCCCTATCTTTCTTTGTGTCCGATTGAAACTTTGGAACCATAAATATCACATGAGTGTTAGCAATTGTGAAATATTAAATGATAGTTGAGTATGTGGAGTTTGCTGAACCAAAGATTTTACATAGACCCTTCCCAGAAATAAGATGAATTGCAATTGTTTGATGACTAAGAGCATGGTTTGTTAGTTTTCAAGAAAGTTTATGATCTATACTTTAACATGTGAATAGCTTGTTACTTAATCATGTGAAGTTTTATGAGTTGAGCTAATGTTATGATATATAATGATGCTAGAAAAAGTGATTGAAATTATCATTGATCAAACTTAAGCACTTGCTAGCATTCACACTTCATAAATTATTTCTTTTATCATTTACCTACTCGAGGACGAGCAGGAATTAAGCTTGGGGATGCTGATACATCTCCAATGTATCTTTTCTTTATAAAGTATTCATGCCATGTTTAAAATAGTTTTATATGACTTTGGTATGATTTGATTAGAACTGACCCGGACTAATGCTGTTTTCAGTAGAACTACCGTGGTGTTGTTTTTGTGCAGAAATAAAAGTTCTCCTAATGCGCTGAAACTCAATAGAGAAGTTTTTTGGAAAATATAAAAAATAATGGAACAAAGAGTTACTAGAGGGGAGTCCTGTGGGCCCCACGAGGGTGGAGGGCGCGCCCACCCCGCTGGGGCATGCCCCTGTGCCTCGTGGACTCCCCGTGGGGCCCCTTGACTTGTCCTCGATGCCAACCTCTCCTATAAATGACCAAACCTCTAGAAAATAACGTAGATCGGGAGTTCCGCCACCGCAAGCCTCTGTAGCCACGAGAAATCAATCTAGGCCCTCTCTGGCAGCCTGTTGGAGGGGGCCATCATCATCGGAGGCCATGGGGAAGGATCCCGGAGGGGCCATCATCGCCATGAAGGCCAAGGACCAGAGGAGGAACCTCTCCCCATCCAGGGGGAGGCCATGCAGGAGGAATCACAAGGGGGAGAACCTCTCCTCCTCTCTCTCGGTGGCACCGGAGTGCCATCGGGAGGGGAATCACCGCCGTGGTGATCGTCTTCATCAACATCACCATCATCATCACTATCCTCATCTCTTTTACACGGTCCACTCTCCCGCAACCCGCTGTAATCCCTACTTGAACATGGTGCTTTATGACACAAATTATGATCCAAAGATGTGTTGCCATCCTATGATGTTTTGAGTAGATATCCTTTGTCTTTTGGTTGATTGATGATATAGATTGGTATG